ATACTGGATTCATCCATGTCATACAAATGGTAAGATTTCATTTTTTTATGGCCAGGTAATATTCCATTTATACATGTACCAGTCTTCTTTATACATGTGTCTATTGATGGGCACTTGCTTTAATGACTGTCCAGCTCTGGGTTTCTTTGACTAGGGACTGTTAAGCCTGGGAGGATCTCTAAATCTAGACAATAGAATTTGATTTAATAATGAGCTATTGTGTGTTCTTGATTAAGGGAATACCATAGCACAAAGCACTCCCACACTGGGTCCAGCAGCAGCATATAAGATGGATTAGATAGAATTCAGGAAGACTAGACTTTGTTAGAAGAGTGAAGAGATGTTTTCTTGGTACTCAAATATAAACAGACAAACACTTGAATGAAGTAGGAACAGAGGGACTAGCAAAACATTTTAAAAGGAAGAGCTGACTGAATTTATTTTTTCTTTTTGCATTAGATAATGAATCTGAAGAAGAGTGAGTGGTTGAAGGTGTTATCAAATTGTCTAGTCTTGGAGGATTGGATAATGACAATGTTGATTTTAGAAACGGGGAAGCTGGAACAAAAATACAGATCCATCTGGGAGAAGATAATGGCCTCCTGCAATGTAAGTACAAATGTCAGGTGGGAGGCACTGATCAGAGATCTTGAAATGTGGTTTACAGAAATGGGGCTTGAGCTCTGCAAAGGGGTCTAGTGAGAACAGTTCTTATCTAGCAGCATGATCCTCACCATCTTTGTACAAGATGCAAGGTTGATATTGAGCTGGAAACCTGCTGGTGATGTAGAGTACCTAGACACCATGCCATCTGATCTTAATAGAGGTGCAGCTCTATGTGAGGCCCTCCTACTGTAGACAAATAACTGCAGCTGCTGGATTCACTTAGTTCTCCTTTGTTTTCAACCCGGTTCTGGAACTCGGGATAGAACTATGCGACTATTCATGACCGCTATGTGAGTTCTTTGCAGTAAATCTAAGGAAACTTCTTATCAGTCACCCTGGACTGCCAGGTTTGTTTTAATAATAAGATGCTGATCAGGATTCAGTGATCCATTGCAGGGAGACTGCCTGAATGCATCTAGTAGGAGTTATATCTTCTAATCTTTTTAGACCCAAAGTTGTAATACTAGAGTCATCACTCACTTATGAGACATCCAGAGAATGTAATTCCTCTGCTCAGACACACCCAAAGTTCCATTTACGTTGTTCTCATGATGAAACAGCTCTCACTGAAATACTTGGTCCCATCTCCTGTTCTGACTTCACCTTCTGCCTCTAGCCATTCTCCTGTCAGCCTCAAGGCCTCCTGGGAAAGCCATCATCTTCCTGAGAAATGTTCTTTCCCCAGATCTACCAATGGCTCCCTCCTGCAGACTGTCAAGTCTCTGTGACTTTTCCCCTGACAACCATATCAAACATGGCCATCCTGCTGCCCCCATCTCCTTGTTCCCATCAGCCATCTATATTGGTCCTTATAGGACTTATCACAAGCTGATGTGCTATGTGTTTATTTATTTGCACACTGTCTCACTCCATCCACCTAAGAAAATGTAAGTATTATGAGGGTACTGTTTTAGACTGTTGATATATAAACTAGACTCCAATGCAGAGTGTTTGGCACATAGTCAATCCTATATAATAAAAGGCTAAAATGCAAATTGACCAAATGGTGGAATGACCAGTCGCTATGATGTGCACTGACCACCTGGAGCATATGTTTAATGCAGGAGCTGCCCCCTGGTGGTCAGTGCGCACCCACAGGGGGAGTGCTGCTCAGCCAGAAGCTGGGCTTACAGCTGGCCAGTGCAGTGGCAGTGACAAGAGCCTCTCCCACTTCTGTGGGCAGTGCTAAGGATGTCTGACTGACGGCTTAGGCCTGTGGGGGAGCAGGCCTAAGCCGTCAGTCAGACATCCCTGAGGGCTCCTGGACTGTGAGAGAGTGCAGGCCGAGCTGATGGACCCCCCCCCCCCCACCTCCGCGTGCATGAATTTCTTGCACTGGGCTTCTAGTATCAATATATACTTGATAAATAAATGCATCTGAATGAACAAAAGTTGGGGTAAATTTTAATTATTTGGCTAGATGGTAAATAGTCTACTTCTCTTGTTATATAAATAACCACTTCAAGCTCCAGTTCACACATGAGCCCTGTTCTTAAACCTTCTGGCACATCCCAGCCAGCACTGGTAGCTTTCTCCTCTGCTCCACTGTCTATCTCGCACATGCCTTTCTGCATGTGATTTATAGCTGTGTGGACTCGGGCTTGTTACTTACAGTGAGCCTGAGTGTCATCCTCTGAAAAAATGGGTAATACCATCTCTCTCATGGTGTGTGATAAATGAAGATAAATGAGATAACCCAGGCATGATGCTTGGCATGTGCTCTGGGCAGATAGTCAATAAATGTGAGATGTAATTTTCAACTAAGCTACAGGCTTTTGAAAGGCAGGCATCATAAGAGTGGCCTTGGGGGAAGGGCAGACCGTCTCTCTCACACAGTAATGATAGCTGAGGTTGGTGTATAGGATTAATTTCTGATTGTACTCATGGAAGTGGATCTTGGAATATGTTTTTAGTACTGATGATTGCAGAGCCTCCCCTAACTCCAGCAATGTGGGAATATCCCACATACACAAGGACCAGAGATTTTATTTCAGTCTTGAAAATATTCTGGGCCTAGGCTCTGGTTATTGATGATTTAGATTGCTCTCATCCAGCTGAGAGAAGGATGGTATGTTAGTTTGGGGGCTTAAAATGATATTCAAATGTAACCTTATATGATTCCCAATGTTAGTCCTGCTAGAATTGAAACTCAATCTTAACTATAATCATCACCAAGTATTACAAATATTACTTTTGAAGCCCTCCCATGAATACGAGGCTGCTCAGGGTGCAATGATACACCACATGTCTCCTGAGTTAGAAAAATGAATTAGAGAAGTGGGGTGGGTGTCCCCTGACTCAGATGACAGAAGGCATAAAACTATAGCAGGAACTGAGGACCGCTTGAGGAAATGAAGACATGCCACAGTCTGGCCGGTGTGGCTCAATGGTTGAGCATCAATCCACGAACCAAGAGGTCACCAGTTTGATTTTCATGCCAGGGTTTCGGGCTCAATCCCCAGTAGGAGGCATGCAGGAGGCATCTGATTGATGATGTTTCTCTCTCGTCAATGTTTCAATCTCTCTATCCCTCTCTCTTTCTCTCAGAGTAAAAATCAATAAAAACATATTTAATAGACATGCCATGCAAATCCAGAAGAGCTTTCTGCTTTTCACTTGATATAACAACACTCAGGTCTTGGGGGCAGAGGATTTTTTTGGCTCAAGCCTCTGTAGCCTTGTCTCCCCAGGATATCTCATCTTCACATAATCCTTATATTCAGCATCGAATATAAAGAAAGACATAACTGATTCTTTTTAAAAAAATATATTTTTATTGATTTCAGAGATGAAGGGAGGAGAGAGATGAGAGAGAGAGAGAGAGAGAGAGAGAGAGAGAGAGAGAGAGAGAGAGAGAAGCATCAATGAGACTTCCTGGTTCATAGGTTGATGCTCAACCACTAAGCCATGCAGGCTGGGCAGCATAACTGATTCTTCAGTGCGAATAACTGAATCCAGTCATTCCAAACCCACAGTGTGATCTAAATTAATCTTAGTAAAAAAGGAAGTACTAGCAAAGCTCCCATTCAGCGGTTCTCAACCTGTGGGTCGTGACCCCTTTGGTGGTTGAACGACCCTTTCACAGGGGTCGCCTAAGACCATCCTGCATATCAGATATTTACATTACGATTCCTAACAGTAGCAACATTACAGCTATGAAGTAGCAACGAAAATAATTTTATGGTTGGGTCACAACATGAGGAACTGTATTTAAAGGGCCAGAAGGTTGAGAACCACTGCCCTAATTCCTCACCATTGGTCCAAAGATAGCATGTTTTCTGAGTCCAAATTTGTGGATTGGATGAATGTGCTTTTTTTTTTTTTTTTTTTAGTACTCAATAAACAATAACTCCCCATTCCCACCTCCCAGCCCCTGGAAACTGCCTTTCTACGTCCCATCTCTACAATTTGAGTGCTTCATTTAAGTGGAATCACACAATGTTTATCGTCCTCAGACTATTTTATTTCACTTAGCATAGTGTCCTCAAGGGTCATGCAGGTTGGAACATGGGCCAGAATGCCCTGAGTGAGCCTGCGAGCTGAGTGAGGTTTTAATATAATATCCAAGTCTAGAATTTACTATTTACAACAGATAAATATTGCCCCTCCCCAACTGGTAAACATGATTTTTGCCTTTTATACAAATATCCACCCTCCTCCCTTCCCCCGAATCCTCCTTTCCCCTGGCCCCGCCCGTGTGGTCCCGAGAAGCTGCAGAGCCAGGGGACTCTGGTGGGGCTGGTCCTCACTCACAGGTGAGGAGGGTCCCTCCTCTCCGAGGGGGCCCGGGCTCGCGTGCGGGACTCTGTGGCCTGACGGTGGATCTTTGGTGCAGCCTGCAGAAGGCTCGAGTGGTGAAGGGGCCGGGCCCCATGAATGGCACGGCCTGTGTCCGTGGGCGCAAGGAGAGAACCGCAGTGGTCAGATCCAGTGGATGAGCGGGTGCCCTGGGCTGCCCGTGGGCACAGGTGGCAGTGACCCACACCTGGGAAGGTGTGAGGGAGGTGTAGCGAAGGCGTGCCCAGTGGTGGGCAGGGCTCTGTGCCCATGGCAGCGCTCCTGGGCCAAGTTGGCTACTCCTCTGGCTCCAGAGAGCAGAAGGCACCTAAGGCGGCGAGCGGTCCTGGGAGGCCAGGTCAGCCTGCTGATGGGCAGGCGTCAATCCCAGCAGCAGGAGGTCCAGGGAGAAACTGGAGTCGGGGTGGGCGGCCCGGTGGCAGGCTGGGCAGAAGGTGCCCGCCTGGCCTGGGCCACTGTCGTTGGTAAGTGCTTGGTTGCCCAGCCTGTCGGAGCCTGGCGGGGCAGCCCTGTGGCTGGGCAGTGCCAGGGACCAGCTAGAAGATGCCCTTGGCAATTCTGAGTCCCTTCTGCTTCATGCGGGGGAGAGTGGAGCTGGCGCCATGCCGGACTTTGGCCACCTTGGTGAAGGCCCGTTTCTTCAGGACAAAGTCATCGTTGGCGGCAGAGTTCATGGCGTAGAACACGTTGGCGTTGTCCGGGATCTTCAGCTTTCTCTCGTCTGAAATGACCTGCACCAGCTCATACTGCTCCAGCTGCTCCTCGTCCAGGTGGTGCTTGTCCGTGGCCTTGCGGATGACAGCCGGAGCCTTGTCCTGGCTGGTCACCAGGATGCTCTTGTACATGTTGCCGTTGTCCACGTCCAGGCTGACCCGGATGATGCAGCCGTCGCCACCTGCTGGTTGTAGAGCGGCAGCGAGGCGCTGTAGCTGCTGACCCCCGAGACCGAGCGCTTGTGGGTGCGGGCGCTGGTCACGGGCGTGGTGGAGGCCGAGGAGGAGGAGGCGCTGCTGGATGCCGAGCTGATGCCGGAGGTCTCCGGGCACGACTGGGAGGCCGACTCCCAGAACTTCTTTTCCTGGCCGTCGGGGGACTCTGCGACAAAGCTCATGGCGATCTCCACGTCGGAGCTGGAGGAGACGCCGAGTGGACGCTGAGCGCATCGGTGATGTCCCCGCCGCTGAGGTAGGGGCTACACCTGAGCTGGTCGCAGGACTTGGAGTGCGAGCTGCCGCTGGTGCTCAGCTCAGTGCTGGGGGCCTGGAGGTCACTCCAGCGCTTGACGATGGCCGTGCTCTTCTTGGCCTTCAGAGTGTTGCTGGCCGACTCGGAGGGGGGCTCCAGCTCACACGATAGGTTGTAGCTCTCGGCCTCGCTGAGCCGCGCCATGGCCCGGAACCAGGCCCTGAACTGCTCCTCGGGCTTGTTGCAAGCGGACTGCAGCAGCTTGATCTGGGCGATCACTTTGAATTCCTTCCTCCTCTTCTCGAAGTTGATCCGCCTCCCATACAGGTAGTCCTTCATCGCGGTGTCCAGCATCCCCAGGTCCGTGAGAAACGTGCCCAGGTAGGGGATGGTGCCCTGGATGACACCCGTCTCCTTCGGCCGCTTCTGGGCTCTCTTGGGGTTCATCTTCAGGGTGGCAAACTTGGAGGTCTCCTCCTTGACGAGCAGCTCTCTGCTCAGCGAGTAGTTGTTCTCATCCGAGAAGATCTCCGACAGCTTCTGGAAGACCCGCACGCTGTCCCTGGACACTTCCTCCCATGTCTTCTTCAGCCGGTGGATGGAGTTGCTCTGCAGAGCGGAGAGGATGGCGTAGAGGGAGGAGAAGTTCTTGAGGACCCGGCACTCCCTGGCCACCTCGATCCAGTGCTCCACCACCCTGGCTCGGCCCGGGCCGTCGCGCTCCGGTCCCCGAGGCTGGTGGTGATGACGCAGTTGGCCACACTGTTGAACTGGCTGACGGTGGCCCGGGCGGTGGGATCCAGGTGCTCCTTGCCCTCCTTGTCCCGCTGGGACCAGATGGAGCCCAGGCAGTGGTAGGGCACCACCTTCTTGAACAGCTCCGCATCCATCAGCGTGAACTGCTCCGCCACCAGGTCGGGAGGAAACGCCAGGAGGTGAGGCCTCTCCTCGCTGAGCCGGTTCTCTGCAGCCACAGGCGAAGGCCAGGAAGGCTCTGGTGCTGGAGCCGGCTCTAGCTCCAGAGTTTGTGACAGAGTCAGTTCCAGCTCTGCAGTTGCTGTTGGAGTGGGTCCCGGGGCTGGCTCTCGCTCTGGAGATGGTTCAAGAGCGGGCTCAGGCTCTCCAACCAGCACTAGCTCTTGCTCTGATGCCAGCACTGGACTGGGCACTAGAGCTGGCGCTAGTGAGCTGAGTGGGCCTGCGAGCATGTACTTTCTTTTGTCCATGCTGGCTGATGGGAGGAACCCCCACTTATTATGGTATACGGGAGAGCGGAAAGGTTCCCTGGGTCTTTAAGTCACACTCAAGGAAAGGGAATATGTTCCTTCACACTGACAAGGGCATAGCCTTTCCCCAGTGCAGCCACACCCTCCCTTTCAGATCCCAAAGTAGTTGTCATGGATTCTTTTCTCCCAAACTTGTTACCACAAAAGCAGTAAATACTTTAATCTTTTTGGTACATTGAACTATGTCACTGACAAGTAGCACAAAGTTTTGAAGGTGAATATGAGGTTAACTTTACTCTTTTCGTATCAAAACACTCTCACTTCATCATCTCTCGAGGTTAGGTAGTAATAAGCAAAATAAATAAATAAATAAATAAATAAAAAATTATCTGGTACAAGATGCAAGCTAATTCAATAAACATGGTTCCTGGTGTCGTGCAATTGTGTCTAAATAGAAAATATTGATAAAGAAAAGTATACTGGGAGACCTAATGCTTTCCCTTTATTCACTTAGGCAAGACATTACTGAACATTTAATTTGAGGCAGGTACAATGCAGATGCCTGCAGTAACTGACTATTTGGAAAAACAGATGTTCTCACAGCGAGGCCAGAACAAAACAGAAGGTAACAAGCGCCATATTGGGTTAATAAGCACTGTAAAAGGGGAAAGCAGAGAAAGGAAACCTAGATTTTCATGGCATCCAGTCCCTATATTTGGTTTCATTCATCACAATGGTAATTACTTATCCAATGTCTGTTTCTCTTCTGAAATACGAATTCCAGGAGGGCAGGAGTATGTGCATTTTTTTTTCTCTGTTGCATTACCAGCATCTAGTTTTAGGAGCAGATTTCCTAACGGCCTTCAGCCTGGGCCTGCCAGGGTAACGCGGACCTCAGAAACTGCCCCGAAGATGCCTTTTATTATCCCCTTTATTATACCTTTCAGAGTAAGCACTCAGGGGATTGTGGAGCTGTTGACAGTTACTTTCACCAGATAGGCACACAGCCAGAATCTACAGAGCAGCCGGGAGAGGCCAAGAGGGCACCAAAAAATCCCATGGGAATGGCAAATGGAGCTTCTCAAAGCACCTGACGAAATTCTCACCCCACTCAGGCAGTGGCGATTGCACTGGGCTATCTTCTTGGGAATTGGTGATTAGGGATGTTTGCCTTCCAATAAAGCGTATTCCACTCAGCCCCCTGGTTTGTACAGCTGTGTTCAGAGAGCCAAGTTCATGAATCCTTTACTGACAATAAAGGAACTTGAATTCTTTTCCTTTGCTTATGAATATTTTCCCTCTGGGTCAGTCTCCACTTAGTAGTCCAATTCAGACACTTACTCTAGTGTTCAATCAGCAGTTTTTGTATGCATGAATATTAGGTGGGTAAATTTACTGATTAAAGAAGTCTTTTAATGAATACATTAAAAATTTAGAGACTGTTAAAATACAAAGAATACTATTAAAATATACTCAAACCCCTCTAAGCAAAGTCACATTGTATAGCATTTATTTCATTTAAATATTTTTGTGTGTATATGTATGATTATAAAAAATCCCCAAAAACAATGCCTGGAAGTTGCCTCCCCTCCTCCTCCCCCCCCCCCCTCACTTTCAAAATATCCTAAAGAAAAATATGATATTTGAAAGGAAAAGCTAGGGTTTGGTTAGATGTAATAGTTTGCCTTACATTCATTAAACTGTTTCTGACATTTATTTCTTGGCTATTTGATTTGTCAAAGGCAAAGAGAGGTATATTAAAGCCTTTTCCCGCAACAGTAGCCTCCATGTCTTTTCTAGTTTTTCTAACAACGTTTTGATAACTAGAGGAAAAATGTTGATGATTGTTTACCTTAACTTTTGAAGGTGGCTTTGTTTTTGTGACAATGCTTGGATCTTTTTGAAATCAGTATTGCCATCTCGCCAATATTTCTGTTTGACATTTGTGTATATTTGTTCATTTTTAATTTTAACTTTCTGCAACATTTATTAGATTTCAGGCAGTTATTCCCTTTATATCTTAGTTTCCTCGTCTGTAAAATGAGAACAAAAGTCGCTCTGTCTGAGAGGTTTTCCATGAAGACTAAATGCACCAGTACCTGTAAGTAGTGACAATAGGCCTGGTGATCAGCAAATGCTTGCCGCTGTGACCTCAGATGTGACATTTACTCATTTCTTTTTTTTTATTTTAATATATTTTTATTGAGTTCAGAGAGGAAAGGAGAGAGAGATATAGAAACATCAATGATGAAAGAGAATCATTGATTGGCTGCCCTCTGCATGCCCCACACTGGGGATTGAGCCTGCAACCCAGGCAGGTGCCCTGATTGGGAATCGAATCCTGATCTCCTGGTTCATAGGTCAGTGCTTAACCACTGAGCCATGCCAGTTGGGCACATTTCTTATATTTTACCTCGAAAAGGTTCTCTGTCCTTTAATACTTTTAATCATTTCCCTTTATTTTTAGCATTAATTTGATTGTTTTACATCTTTTTTTAAATATATTTTATTGATTTTTTACAGGGAGGAAGGGAGAGGGATAGCGAGTTAGAAACATCTATGAGAGAGAAACATTGATCAGCTGCCTCCTGCACACTCACTACTGGGGATGTGCCTGCAACCAAGGTACATGCCCTTGACCGGAATCGAACCTGGGACCCTTGAGTCCACAGGCCAATGCTCTATCCACTGAGCCAAACTGGTCAGGGCGATTGTTTTACATCTTTAATTTTACTTAATACTTCTCTGATTGCTGTCAGTTCCATGTATACATGCCTCTGTTTAGACTTTATTTCTATGATTATTAAAGCAAATAAAAAAAAGTATTTTTCTGCCTTTTGTATGAAACAGAACTTAGCATACTTTGCTGCCTACTATCATTCAATTATGTTAACATATTAATTTGGATAACATTTATTGCTATCAATGATTACTTTTCTGTTGTCTCTCAAAATTGTATTTGATGCTTGGTTTCCTTTGGTTGGTGTTATTTACCATAGAGATCCAATATTATCCTTTTACTACTTTCTGTGTTAACTGTCATCTGTTTTCTAAAATTCTTGCCTATTATTGAGCTCTTGGTTTTAACTCACTTCAATGTTAGCTACAGAATGTCTTCAGCTCTTTTTCCCCTGGGTAGCCATGTGGGTGGTTTCTTTTTCTGAGACTTTGCATTATTTTAGAATTCTTTTCTTTTGACTTTACATACCAATGAAAAATTGGAGGCTATAAAAATGTATGGATCACAAACTTCTCTCTCATCACAGTTTTGTGCATGGTTTTTAAGTACGTTCTGGTATTTATTTAATGTTATTACAAAATCTGAGGCAGCTCAATGTTGTCCCTTTTACACATCTTTCTGTGTCTTTTCTACTTTGCATGTTTGAGTGTAGGATTTTTCTCTATTACTATAATTAAAATTTCCACACATGAAATGTCTAGATGTCTTATTCTTTCTGTGTCTTGCCTGAAATGTTCTGATCGCCTTTTATCTACCATCTTTGGACATGTTTTGCTAGAAATTTTCCCTCAAATATGTAATTGCTTCTTCCTCTGTTCAGTTGTTTTGGCTTCCTCTGGGGGCTGTATCTTGGTGTTGGGTGTTTTTTTTCCCCTCCACATCTGTCAACATCTCTTCCATGATTTCATACTCATAATCCTTCTCCCCCGCTCCCAACTGACATACAAACCACCCCCAGTGATTCACTGTTTCAGTGTCCTTTTTCACCATTAAATATTTCTGTGGGAATTTTGATATTTTAATTTTTTGAACTGAACTTCCCACTTTACTCCCTGATTATATCAGCTTGTTGTCTGTATGACCCAATGACATTATCATGCTTCCTGTTGCTCCTCTTTAGCCCAGTGATTTCTGCTCTTTACACAGAGGCCACAGATCCTTGCCTCTCGCTGATGTTGTGATAGGTTTCTATTGTTTGGCCCGTACATGATTCTCTCTCTTGGTTAGGGAACGCGACAGAACCATTGTTTTGGGAAACCGGTTCCTCACATTTCTCCTCTTCCCCTCCATCGATGGGATTATGACTGGAAGCCTTCCTCTTTATCTTCAAAAAGTTTGCACTGCCCTTCTCTGTGACCTTCAGCGGTTTCCCTCTGGCTCTGTCCCTTCTACTATACTGGTTTCTGAAAGTCTATACTTCTGATGAATTATCATTCTACCTACACTCCTGTGAAAGGAGAAATGTCATCCTGGTGTTTATTTTGTTTTTCTCTCATGAGGAGCTAAAGCACCAAGCCAACCTGCCTTCTCAGCCCCACCCAGAATTCTGTTGACTTGTCTGTCTTGTTATATTACAGATCTTTTTATGAACAAATGAGCGAAAAGCCAGCAAATGCATAAGCAACCCAGTTTCTTTCCACTTAGGTAGATGGGGCTACTCTGGCTTGTAAAGGGGCATCATGAGCCAGAAGCCTGTGATATATTTCCTTAACTTGGTACCATCTGTCTTAAATTTTATGAAAATACTGCTCAGATTCTGAGAGTACTTTGCCAGTCAAAATGAGTTTGGGGTATTTTTGTGAGTGTTTCTGTCTATGTGCATTCAAATGTTTAGGTATCTGTCGGCATTTCAGTGGGAAGTTGGGGGCCATCAGCCAAATCCATTTGTCAAGAGAAATCAGTTCTATTGGGGAGAGTGCTGGTGGAGGTAATGGGAGAGTGGGAGAGTTTTAAGGACATGGTGGTATTTTAATTTAAGAAACTTGAATGATTTATAAAATGGAGAGCCTGAGAAGCAAGAAAGACATTTCAGACCCTTTGTGACTATCTCAGTACTGGTTAAGTACATGAAAAAACAGGGAAGAAGGAAAATTCCAAGAGATAACCAGAGATATTTGAGGTTTTAGAAATCTATGTAATCATAATCGTATTGTAAACTAGAGCTCCCTGAAAACAAAATTGGGTCTAAAATGTTTAAACATGCAAAGGTCATCTATTTTGATGTGTGTGTGTGTGAAGACTAAATAAAGCAGTTTCAGGC